CAGAATTAAGTCAAATATGGAGGGTTATACGCCTCAGGTGGTTATTTAACCGAGGTAATAGAGCTGTTATGCCCCGGTTCCATTTGAACCGAGGCCTATAAGTTTGCTAAAATTGTAAAAATGTCACCGCGTTTTCATATGCTTTGGTTTTCTACAAACCGAGACGTATTAACCGCGTTAGTATCCCAATTCTGCACTAGTGTATGCAGATCTTTTAAAAGATATTGCAGCCATTGTAGTTCACAAGTTAGAGAAGCTAAAGACCTGTATTCGGCCTCAGAAGAAGATTTGGAAACAGTGGTTTGTTTCTTTGATTTCCAAGAGATAAGAGCAGTTACAAGAAAGATGCAAAAACCAGAGATGGATCTTCTAGTGGTACTACAAGTAGCCCAATCAGAATCAGAGTATGCATGAATGCGGAAGGAATTATTAGCAGCATATAACAGACCAAAACCAGGAGCATTCTTTAAGTATCTAATGATCCTCATGGCTTGTTGCATATGAGGTTGACGAGGACTAGAAACAAATTGGCTAAGTTGTTGGACGGTAAAATCATTGTCGAGCCGTGTATTAGTGAGATAGAGTAGTCGTCCAATAAGACGCCGGTAAGAAGAAGGATCTGTGAGAAGGATGCCTTCATCAGCATGAAGTTTGATAGAAGGATCAGCAGGTGTGGAAGCAGGTTTACATCCTAACATACCAGCTTCAGAAATCAATTCAAGACAGTATTTTCGTTGATTGATACATATTCCAGCTTGAGATCTAACAATTTCAAATCCCAGAAAATATTTGAGATCTCCAAGATTTTTAATGTGAAACTTGCTGTGGAGATGATCTTTGACAGTAGTGATTTTAGACAAGTTATTTCTAGAAAGAAGGATATCATCAACATAAACCAGAATAATGGTGATAGTAGAGGGAAAATGTTTGATAAATCAAGAGTGGTCGGCAGAGTTTTGTGTATACCCGATAGAAAGTAATTCTGATGTGAGTTTGTGATTCCAATTTCTGCTGGCTTGTTTTAAACCATAAAGAGACTTTTGAAGCTTGCAAACGAGATTAGGAGTAGACGAACAGAGACCAGGGGGAGGCTTCATGTATATTTCGTCAGTTAAATCACCATGAAGAAAAGCATTGTCAACATCCAATTGATGAAGAAACCATTTGTTGATGCCAGCAAGAGTAAGAACAAGGCGAACCGTGGTGATTTTAACAACAGGGGAAAATGTTTCATAGTAATCCAATCCTTCAGTTTGAGTGAAACCTCTTGCCACTAAACGAGCTTTATATCTGTCAATAGAGCCATCTACTTTATGCTTGATACGATATACCCAATGACAACTGATGGATTTCTTACCAGCAGGGAGATTCACCAAAGTCCATGTTTGGTTTCTTTCAAGAGCAGCAAGTTCATAATTCATAGCCTGCTGCCAACATTCAAACTTGCTAGCCTCTTTAAAAGAAAAAGGTTCAACTTGTGCAGAAATATTATGACAAAAAGAAGCGTGATTAGAGGAACAATTAGCATAAGAAAGGAACAAATGCATAGGATACAGGGTAGTATGGGATGAGGTAATACCAGAAGTAGTACCACAGTAGTAATGATCTAAATATTTAGGTCTAGTTTTGTTTCTAAGAGAAACTCTTTGTTCAACAATAGGAATAATGATACTATCAGAAGTATGATGAGAAGTGTTACTAGGTGGATAATTTGGGCAGTGGAAACATGTATCAGATTTGGAAAATAAAAAAGAATAACATCATAAATATCATTATGTGTAGGACAGGAAGGTGAAGTGAAAGAAGTTTGATAGGGAAAAATATGTTCATGAAAAATGACATTTCGTGAAATAATAGTAGAATGTGATTGCAGATCATTCAGCACAAACCCTTTGGTTCCAGATTTGTATCCAAGAAAAATGCATTTGTGGCTTCTGGAATCAAGTTTTGTGCGTCCTGCAGTAACGGAGCGGGAGTATGATAAGCATCCAAAAACTTTCAGATTTGAAAAATCAGGTTTGCTGGAATAAACTAGTTCATAAGGAGATTTATTTTGAAGAAAAGGTGTGGGCATTCTATTAATAATATGAATGGCAAGCTTTATAGCATAAGACCAAAAAATTTTAGGAACCTTAAATTGAAAGAGAAGAGATTGACAAACATTGAGAATGTGTTGATGCTTCCTTTCAACAATACCATTTTGTTGGAGAGTAGCAACACAAGTAGTTTCATGAAAAATGCCTTTAGTGGAATAAAAATCATTAAGAAGAAATTCTTTTCCATTGTCAGATCTTATAATTTTAAGTTTACAAGAAAATTGGTTTTCAATTAAAAGAATGAAGTTTTGAAGTAAGGATTTAACATCAGATTTGTGTTTCAAAAGAAGAAGCCATGTGAAACGACTATAGTCATCAACAATGGTAAAAAAATATTTATATCCATCAATGGAAGTAATAGAAAGGGCCCCCAAATATCAACATGAATGAGATGAAAAAAACAAGAAGATTTAGTTTTGCTAACAGAAAACTAAAGACGTTTTTGTTTTGCAAAAGCACAAACATCACAAGCATCAATAGATTGAAAAGAAATATCAGGATATTGAGAAGCTAATGTTTGGAAAATTTTATTTGAAGGATGTCCAAGTTTCATGTGCCACAAATTATAAGAATCACTAGAGCTATGATGAAAAGCAGAATGTAAGACATTTAATTCTAAAGTACTTATGGTATTATTACTAAGAAGATAAAAAAAATGCCTTTGTATTTCTTAGCTACTCTAATCGTCTGGTAAGTATCCATCTGCACAATGAGACAGCTATCTTGATGAAAAACAATGAAGAAATTATTTGAATGTAATAATTTTGAAATAGAAATAAGATGAACAAAGAAATTGGGAACAAATAGAGTATTGTGCAAAACCAAATTGCCTAAAATAACTATCCCTGAGAATTTAGCAGTAACAAAACTATGATTTGGTAAGCGTATAGAAATAGGAGTGATAGGCTATAAAGAATTAAAAAGAAATTTTGAAGAACATATATGATCAGTAGCACCACTATCTATAATCCAAGAAGAAAAATTGAGTTTAGAAAAAGAACCTGATGACTGTGGAGTGCATTGATTAACGCTGGCCTCACTAGGAGTAGGAGGTTGAGACTGTTTCAACAAGCCAAGAATAGCATCATACTGTTCTTGAGAAAAAGTGCATTGAACTTGGGTTTTATCAGCGGAGGAGTCATTGGAGATGTGTGAAATGCCATCAGTCAGGTTGGCAGAGGGATTGGAGATAACAGAATTTGGTTTGGTGGTGGGTTTACAACCTTGAGGAAGGCCATATTTGATCCAGCAATTTTCAGAAGTGTGATTGGTTCTTTTGCAATGATCGCAGTATTTGGCACGACCATCAAATGTAGTAGTACGTCCTCATCCACGACCAAACAACGTACCACGAGAGGTATTAGAAGTCTTGGTCTGAGGGTCTTGGAAATTGAAATTAGCCATTGAATCTTGTGGAATTTGTGAGGAGGAATTGTGAAATTCCCGTCGTTGCTCTCTTGTTGAATCTTGTCAATAAGCCACAATTGCACGGAGAATTACAGGTGCAAACAAGAATGGTGTTATACAGAGAAATTTCTTTCCAAATTATTTGAAGACGAGTGTAATATTGAGAAACAGTAGAATCACCTTGTTTGCAAAATTGGAGAGCTTCTTGGAGATCAGCGATGCGAAACTTATCGCCATGAGAAAAATGTTGAAGAAGATCGGTCCAAATCTCGTATGCAGAATCCATCCACATAACAGATTGTTTGATGGGTAGAGCCATGGAGCGCGTCAGCCATGAGATCACCATCTTGTTGCATCTTTTCCAGGCTTTGTGAAGAACATCATCAGGAGGAGGGCAAGAAATAATACCAAGAATGAATTTGTCTTTATTATTGGTTTTAAGAGCGACAAGCATATCGTGCTGTCATTGTTGATAATTGGTGTCAGAGAGAGGAGGATTGACAAGAACGAGAGTTGGGTTCTCACCGGGATGAAGAAATAGAGGGTGGGCAGGATTAGAAAGATGATCGGTGGTAGAATTTGAGAAAGCCATGACAAGAGAACAGGAGATGAAGAAAGGGGCAAATGAAGAAAGGGGCAAAAGAAGAACCCTAATTAGTTTCTTTCTTCTGATACCATGTAAGTGTTTGAGAAAAGAGAGAAAACAAGAACTCCAGAAAAAGCAGAAAGTGAATGAATATCAGTTGTAAGTGTAAAGTACAACGAAAGTAAAGTATTTATACAAAGAGGAAGAGAGAAAAAGAAAACATAATTAACAAAATTTATTCTAAAACACTGTAACTGAACGACTTCCGAGTGTTCAGTCATTCAGTAGTCTCCAGACGTTCGGTAGACGTTCGACAGTCTGCAGACGTTCGGTAGTCGACAATCGTTCGGTGGTCTTTAGCTCTTTGCAGCCGCTCGGCAAGATTTTTGTCCACAACTGTTCGGTAATCAACAGATGTTCAGTGGTCTTCAGCTCTCTGTAGTCGCTCGGCAAGATCCTCTTGTCCACAATTCGGTAACAACAGAAGAAGATATATGTGAAAGTCTCTGTCAATTAAATATTCCGTAAAGTTTGATGAAGAAAAGATAAAGTTTACGTAATATGTAAAGTTTTCCAAAGATATATGACGTGATAAGAACATAATAAAAACTGTGTTTAATATATAATGGTTATGTAAATTTTACGTAATACTATTATTAATGTCATTATTGTTAGGAATTATTCCCCCGAAACATTTTCTTTTGTAATTTGATAAATTATATGTATTTATGTTAGAGTTTTCTCACCAACATTTATGTAACACGTAGATCAACTTTTATTATAAAAAAAAATAAATATCATATAGCATGAAAATATATCAAAATCACATTATTGTGAGTCTAAATGCAATAATCAATCATTTCTTCATCATGAAAATCAAATATTTAAAGACTCCACTCTCATTATAATTTCACAAGTACATACTCACTCACATATTTGTTGAACTTCCCTTCATTTCTATGGCTACTCAAAACACAACCTTCGAACTTGTCATGAAAGATGTTGTTCTTATCAAACCATCAAAACCAACACCTTCCTCTATTCTTCCTTTATCTACCCTAGACAATATACCTTTCAATAATAGCCTATGCCACACCCTTCATGTATTTCGATCCAAAACTCATGATCTTGATGAACCGGGTTGCCCAAATCACCAACTGCTAGATCTTGCTGATGTGATTAAAGCAGCAATTTCAAAGGCTTTATTCTATTATTATCCTCTAGCAGGTAGGCTAGTAAAGCACACTGATGGAAACTTCATGATCAACTGCAGTGCAGAAGGTGTTCCGTTCTTGGAGGCCAGTGCCAGTTGCAATCTTTCTTCTCTCCATTTCTGGGACGGCACTGACATGCAAAATGCAAAACACTTAGTGTTTGACCTTCCTTCTCAAAGTGAAAGTGGCTACCAATATCCCTTGGTGTTCAAGGTGACAACCTTTACTTGTGGAGGATTCACCATTGGAATGGGGATGTTACATACTATTGGAGATGGCATTGGAGCATCTCAGATCTTAAAAGCCATCATAGAGCTTGCAAGGGGGAAAAGTGAGCCCTCTGTGAAGCCTGTGTGGGAGAGAGAGAGGCTGAAGGGATCAATCACTAAACAGCCATTGCTATTTGATTCAGTGGATGAGGCCTCAGCTGCTGTTTCACCCTTTCTTCCAACCGAAATTCTCGTGCAGGAATGCATTAAGGTTAACAGTGAAAGCATCAGAAGACTGAAGATGAGTTTGATGAAGGAATCAGGTGAAAACGAAAACTTCACTACTTTTGAATCACTAGCTGCATATGTGTGGAGGTCTAAATCAAGGGCCTTAAAATTGAACTGTGATGGGAAAGTTAAGCTGACTATCACAGTTGGAGTGAGAAGGCACTTGCAGGATCCTTTGCCTGAAGGGTATTATGGAAATGCTATTGTGGATACTGACGTTGTTTTAACAGTGAGGGAACTGAATGAAAGGCCACTACATGAGATCGTGAAGCTCATAAAAGAAAGCAAGAAAGTTGCTAGTAACAGTGATTATGTGAGAAACTTCATCAACACTTTAGAGACAGAAGTAACGTATTTCAATATTGAAGGGAGTGGTGCATATACTGTGTTGACTGATTGGAGGTACTTGGGGTTCTTGGAAAAGATAGATTGTGGAGTTAAAGAACTTGTGAATACTTTACCAGTCGCTTCTGACATGTTTGGATCCGTTGATTTATGCATTTTCTCATCTCTTTGCAACTTGGATTCTTCAATGGAGGGAGGGGTTAGCATTTTTCAGTCCCTACCAGCTGCTGCATTGCTCAAGTTCAAGGAGGAGATGGAAGCTCTCAGCCTTTTGATTTGAACACTTACTATATATGAAGTGAATAAAGCAACATGAAATGTGTGAGATCTGTTCATGCCACATTCCTTTTAGGCCTTTTGATTTGAGCATTTACTATATATGAAGATGAATAAAGCAACATGATTTAGATGTTATAGAGTTGGAGTGTAAAAAAATGAAAGCATGAAGGAAGTCGTTCTTTCCCCCGTGGTTGTAAAGGAGTGAGGAACCCCCTCTCCCTCCTCATTCTTTCCTTCTTTTAAAAGAAAAAAAAAATAATTTAAAAAGACTGTCGGTAGATTTGTTGAATAGTATTGTGCAAGTGGAGGAAGATAATTTGTAGTGTAGGCCATGGTTACATATAATTCGTGTAAGTGGGGAAGGAGAGGAAATTATTTGGAAATGTGGGGTATACACGGAAAACATGTTTTGTTTAAAGACAAACAATAATGATTGATGGAAAGAAGCTTTTTTTATTTTTATTATTTTTTATTCTTTTTAATTTTATTTGTATTATATTTTTGAAAATTATTCCAACAAAACTGAGTGTTGATAATCTCGTTGGACTTTGAACTAGAATTGCTTTGAATATAATTCTTCTTTGATCTCACTCCCAACCAAAGAAAATCCTAAATACATCACGATTTTCTCGACACGGTGACCAAATATAAGATAAAGATTATGAAAATGTTTTTGAACTAACTTTCTTGTAAGATTATGTATTTTAAAAACAAAGTAATTGTTGAAGGAACTCTTACACTTTAACAACATAACAAAACTCCCAGGCTTTTACTGCATAAAGAAGTTTCCAATCCAAAAAGATGGACAAAGTTGCCCATTCCAAAAGCTATTTCCAAATTCAGAAATACCTCCAGAGTCATTATGTCAGAATATATTTTTAATATGCTTCAAAATGGTAATTTTAAAAAGTATTTTTGAATTCAAAATTATTTTCTGAACTGGTCGATATATTTTAGAATGATTATTTTGATAAATATTTCTAAATTTGAAAAATATTTAAGAATCTTAAAACATCTTCCAAAATTCACAATTTAAAAATTATTTTTATACTCTAAATTGAGTATTTTGATAAATATTTTTCTTTTGAACATTCAATCTGAAATATATAAAAATAATATATTCTAAATTGAATATTTCGAAAGATATTTTCATATTTAAAAATACTCTCTACAACATACAATCAGAGAAATATTAAAAGAATGAGGTGTAAGGGACACTTTTATTTTTTTATTGTAATTATAATAAAAGGGTAATTTGGGATGGATTTTATATGGGTGCAAGAAGAAAAGGGAGAAGTGTGGGAAAAAAGCAGCCTTATTTTTTTTACAGTGTTTATACAACTTTTTTAAATTTAATTTTAGCATTCATTAAAAGAATCATAATAACGAAGCTTAATATAATATATATCACTGAACCATGATTCAAATAGGAATATTATTTAATAGTGAACCTATATTGTCTTCTGCGGATACTTATATTGTCAATAAAACGGACATAAGAGTTTAACCTCTAATTCATCTTTGTGGATCTTTTGGTCTCGCAAGCAGAGTTTCTGAAAACCATTAGAGGCTATAACAATTATAAAAAAAGAAATAAATAAAATGACTGATGTAATTAGACGGTACAGCAAGAATTGAGGATATATGATTAAAAAATATGAAATCTTTCTTAGCCATTACACGATTTTATTTGATTTAAAAAAAATTAAAATTTATTAATTATTCTTTCTATTTACAACAGGATGGTTTACATATTAAATTGTTAGTCGAGATTTAGGTACTTTGATATTTTTATTGTCACTATTTTGAAACAAAATCAATTTTATAAAAAGACTCGTTCGTCATATATAATAATTTAGAAAAAAATATAATTGTTTTTACGTAATCAAATATACAATATGAAGGCTTTGACAAACATTTCAAACGTTCTAAATCTTCAACTTCGAGAATATTTGTCCACTTCGAAAGTATTCATTTTTTTATAGAGATGAAAGGATTCCAATGGTGATGTGAAGAGGTATGGCAAAAGGACTATACTCATACAAGTGTTTTACAAGTCTGAGAAATATTTGGTTCAGTGAGAGATAGTCATTTTTTGTGTGTTTATGTTATATATTTGGTTTTCATGTATGTATACATTATGGTTTGTTATTCAGAAATTACACTTTGTATATTAAGGTTATTGTGTTGATCTCATTGAAATAAAGTAAGGATTAATTGAAAACAGACGTGTACAGGTCACCTTCACGTAATTTTCATGTCATTTGGTTATTTGAGCATGAGTGATCATTATCAGGTTTGATTGCAATTAGTGCAATAAAAACTGCTTTGGTTCTATGTATGAATATAATCAATGGACGGAGACCTTTGGATACGCTTAAGGTATATAATGACAATTTTGAGCTTAATAAATTTGTAAGGATTTATATGATATATATATATATAAAGGGGTTTTTGTGTTTTCAGTTGGTACATTTTAGCAATATGTACTGGATTTTAGTAGAAAAAAATACCCTTATATATCATACATTCTAAGTTTTAAGGTTAAGGGTATTTTAATAATTTTCATTATCAAAATTAAAAAAAAAACTCCAAACCCTTACTCGCCTCTCTCATTCCTCTCAACCCTTTCTCTTTCATCTCTCTCACTTCAACATTTTCTCTGTCATTACTTCTGTAGTCCCAATTGAAAAATTTAGAAACACTTGTCGTTAAACAATCTTACACAAAAAATGATTTTATAATGAGTTTTTATTTTATAATTTTTGTCTTATCTAATTTTCACAAGCATAATGACATCAAAGGAATTGGTAATTGACTTGGAAAAAATCAGAAACACTCGTTGTTAAACAATTTCTTACAAAAAATGATTTTATAATGAGTTTTCATTTTATAATTTTTGTCGTATATAATTTTATCTAATTTTCACAAGCATAATTGACATCTGAAAGAATTGGTAATTGGCCTGGAGGGTTTTTTTTAGAGATGATGATTCAACATATACAAATGATGAAATTAGAGAGGTTAGTGAAGAGGGTGAAATTTCTTTTTTTAGTTCTGAGAATGAAAATTATTAAAATACCCTTAACCTTAAAACTTAGAATCCATGATATATAAGGGTATTTTTGTCTATTAAAACTCGGTACACATTGCTAAAATGTACCAACTGAAAAACAGACGTACGCGCGTTAGCAAACCCCATATATAATCAATAAATGTGTTAAGGTCATTTATGAAGGTCATTTATGATATGAGATGTATATTGTGTAGAGGCCGATAATAATTTTAATTTGTTGAAGGAATCAAATTAAAATATTGAAGTTTAGAAAAAGTAACCAATAAAGGTTACATAAAATAGTCATGATCCCCATCTCTCATCTCTTATTATTCTTATTTCTTTCTCTCTATCCCATACGAAGAAAAAACTAAAAGAAAACCTAAAATGATCTACAGAGAAAAGATTAATTAAATACCAATGTTATTTTGTTAATTGTTTTCAATAACCAATCATTCAGGTACGTTTACGTTTTAGAACTTTAGAACTGCTTTTTTTTATAAGGGTTGAGTGCTTATTAATTTTGATATGTGAATTAATAAACCAACGTTCATAACCCTCACAATTACATAGACGTGAATAGAAAATATGTTGAAATGTACACTCTAAAACTTCTTTAATACACGTGAATAGAAAATATGATGAAATGAACACTCTAAAACTTCTTTAATAAGAAATTAATACTGATTGTATAATAGAAACATTCATCTTATTGACTTCTAATAGAAGCATTTAAGGTTGTATTTTTCTTGTCGAACAATAAAAAGGTTGTGTATGTTTTAGGAGTGAAAAAGAAACTAGCACTAGTACAAAAAATGGAATCTAACACGCCATATATGCTTCGGTTATGCAAAACCCGAAACGTAAAAATTATATGCCTCGGTCATACCTTAACCCGAAGCAGAATAATAATATTGTCTCGGTTAAAAGAATATCAGAAACCTATACTATGCTTTTTTGTCTGACAGCTTTATGAAAAGGTTCTATGGTCTCGGGTTGCCATACAACCGATGCCTATACACATGTGCGAAAGGTTCTATGGTCTCGGGTTGCGAAACAACCGATGCCTATACACCCTTTCATTTATCTGATCTTCTTCATTTCCACGGCCCAACGTCTTCTTCCCTCGTGCTCTCACTTCTTCTCCCTCCGTGCTCTCCCTTCTTCTCCCTCAGTGCTCTCACTTCTTCTCCCCCATGCTCTCCCATTCTTCCCCTCCGTTCTCTCCCATTCTTCCCCTCTGTCACAACTGTAGCCTCCGCCGGTGTAGCCTCCTCCGCTGCTGCCTCCACCGCGGTTGCCTCCTCCGCTGCTACCTCCGCCACTACTGCATCCGCCGCTCCAGATCGCCATCGCCAAGCCGCTCCAGATCGCCATCGCCAAGCCGCTCCAGATCGCCAAACCGCTCCAGATCGGCGAGCCATCCGTCGTTGCTGCCTCCGCCGCTGCTGGCTCCGTCGCTCTCGATCCACCGGTCCAGATCGCCATCGCCAAGCCGCTCCAGATCGGCGAGCCCTCCGCCGCTGCTGGCTCCGTCGCTCTCGATCCGCCTCCGCCATTCTTCCCTTGTATATCTTCATCTTCATCCACCGCTCCAGATCCACCGCGAGCCGCCGCCCTAGACCGACAATCCATCCACCGCTCCAGATCCATCGCCGTTTGTTCGTCTGCCTCTTCTTCATATCTTGTTCGTTGCAGAAATTTTACCTTAGATCTGTGAAATTTTGTAGATTTTGGCATTGTTCTTGAGGCCAGCCCAGTGAAGAAATTTTGTAGATTTTGTCATATGTTAGGTCTGTTTTGATCTTGGATTGGGGATTAAGATTTTTCGGTTGTTTGAAAAACAATGACTTCCACCACTGAAACAATTTTTGGTTGTTGAGGTTGCTGAGAACTGAACAATTTCTGGTTGCTGAGAACTGAACAATTTCTGGATGCTGGTTGCGTACTGAAACGGGTTGCATTTGAAAAAAAAAACGATACTACCTCGGTTCTTAGATAACCGAGGCATATTCATATCTGATTTTATCTCGGTCCATGACCGAGGCATAAAATTTGGTCTTTTTACCTCGTCTACGTATACCTCGGTTGTAGAACCGATGCCAATAATAAAAAAGAACCGGTGCCTTTTCTTGTTATTGTACTAGTGTAGAATACGTACCTTTCTGCTTATGTTGATTGCATGTAGCGTCAAGCAAACCATAGTATCATTAGTAATGAGGAAATTTGGTTGTGGTGAATGAGTAGAAGATACTATACTAATTTATTTTTAAGTACGCGTGTGGGTGTAACTCGTGCATGTCACAATTTTAGGGCAAGACGGCATTAACATTTCACTCATAGTCTTAATCCAATATTCATGGCAACAACAAAAGAGAGAACTAATGGTCAAGCGATGGATTATTATTCACCAACATTTAACACATCGCCGAATAAAATTAATTACTATCAACCGATATAGGAAAAATCAGCATGCTATAGGAATGAATATTGCTTAAAGTTTGATGAAGAAAAAATAAAGTTTACGTAAAATGTATAGTTTTCCAAAGATACATGACGTGATAAAAGTAATTAATGATAAAAAATGTGTTTAATATATAATCTTTATGTAAAGTTTACTCAATATTATTATTATTATTATTATTATTATCATTATTATCTAGGAATTATTCTCTCATACAATTAAATTTGATAAATTATATGTATTTGTGTTAGAGTTTTTTTTCCAACTTTCATATCACACGTAGATCAATTTTTATTATAAAAAAATTTTAATATTGTATGTCATGAAAATCTATCAAAATCACATTATTGTGAGTCTTAATGTTATGAAAATTCTTGTACACAATACATCAAAAATAATAAAAAATCATTTTTGTAAAATAAACTTGGTCTATTATTTTTCATATCCAAAGAACCCGTGTAGTATGGTTTTTTAGTATATCCACACCATTTAAACTTACTATCTCATTTTTCTATCATGGAAATCAAATATTTAAAGACAACACTTTCACAATTCTAATCTCACAACTGCATACTCACTCAGATTTTTGTTTAACTTCCCTTCATTTTCATGGCTACTCAAAACACACCCTTCGATCTTATCATGAAAGAAGTTGTTCTTATCAAACCATCAAAACCAACACCTTCCTCTATTCTTCCTTTATCTACACTGGACAACATACCTGTCCTTTATAGCCCATGCCACACCCTTCATGTATTTCAATCAAAAACTCATGATCTTGATGAACCTGGTTGCCCTAATCACCAACTGCTAGATCCTGCTAATATGATTAAAGCAGCAATTTCAAAGGCTTTATTCTATTATTATCCTCTAGCAGGTAGGCTAGTAAAGCACACTGATGGAAACTTCATGATCAACTGCAGTGCAGAAGGTGTTCCGTTCTTGGAAGCCAGTGCCAGTTGCAATCTTTCTTCTCTCCATTGCTTGGATGGCACTGACATGGAAAATTCTAAACACTTAGTGTTTGACCTTCCTTCTCAAAGTGAAAGTGGCTACCAATATCCCTTGGTGTTCAAGGTGACAACCTTTACTTGTGGGGGGTTCACCATTGGAATGGGGCTGTTACATACTCTTGGTGATGGCTTTGGAGCATCTCAGATCTTGAAAGCCATCATTGAGCTTGCAAGGGGGGAAAGTGAGCCCTCTGTGAAGCCTGTGTGGGAGAGAGAGAGGCTGAAGGGATCAATCACTAAACAGCCATTGCTATTTGATTCAGTGGATGAGGCCTCAGCTGCTGTTTCACCCTTTCTTCCAACCGAAATTCTCGTGCAGGAATGCATTAAGGTTAACAGTGACAGCATCAGTAGACTGAAGATANATGATTAAAGCAGCAATTTCAAAGGCTTTATTCTATTATTATCCTCTAGCAGGTAGGCTAGTAAAGCACACTGATGGAAACTTCATGATCAACTGCAGTGCAGAAGGTGTTCCGTTCTTGGAAGCCAGTGCCAGTTGCAATCTTTCTTCTCTCCATTACTAGGAAGGCACTGACATGAAAAATACAAAACACTTAGTGTTTGACCTTCCTTCTCAAAGTGAAAGTGGCTACCAATATCCCTTGGTGTTCAAGGTGACAACCTTTACTTGTGGAGGATTCACCATTGGAATGGGGATGTTACATACTATTGGAGATGGCATTGGAGCATCTCAGATCTTAAAAGCCATCATAGAGCTTGCAAGGAGGAAAAGTGAGCCCTCTGTGAAGCCTGTGTGGGAGAGAGAGAGGCTGAAGGGATCAATCACTAAACAGCCATTGCTATTTGATTCAGTGGATGAGGCCTCAGCTGCTGTTTCACCCTTTCTTCCAACCGAAATTCTCGTGCAGGAATGCATTAAGGTTAACAGTGAAAGCATCAGAAGACTGAAGATAAGTTTGATGAAGGAATCAGGTGAAAACGAAAACTTCACTACTTTTGAATCACTAGCTGCATATGTGTGGAGGGCTAAATCTAGGGCTTTAAAATTGAACTTAGATGGGAAAGTTAAGCTGACTATAAAAGTTGGAGTGAGAAAGCACTTGCAGGATCCTTTGACTGAAGGGTATTATGGAAATACTATTGTGGATAATGACGTTGTTTTAACAGTGAGGGAACTAAATGAAAGGCCACTAAATGAGATAGTGAAGCTCATAAAAGAAAACAAGAAAGTTGCTAGAAACAGTGATTATGTAAGAAACTTCATCAACACTTTAGAGACAGAAGTAACGAATTACAAAATTGAAGGGAGTGGTGCAAATACTGAATTGACTGATTGGAGGTACTTGGGGTTCTTGGAAAAGATAGATTGTGGAGTTAAAGAACTTGTGAATACTTTACCAGTCGCTTCTGGCATGTTTGGATCCGTTGATTTATGCATTTTCTCATCTCTTTGCAACTTGGATTCTTCAATGGAGGGAGGGGTTAGTATTTTTCAGTCCCTACCAGCTGCTGCATTGCTCAAGTTCAAGGAGGAGATGGAGGCTCTCAGCCTCTTGATTTGAGCACTTACTATATATGAAGATGAATAAATCAACATGAACTGTGTGAGATCGTTCATGCCACATTCCTTTTAGGCCTTTCATGTTTGTATAAGTATAAAAATCTCTTTACTTTTCCAAATATTGAAACCTCACCCCATGTGTAATATTATGTTGTATTCATCATATTTTGTTGTCAAATTTTCGTCGCTAATCTCAACCTTTGATTTAAGTTAGTCCACATTCGTTTAAAAGAGTATATATATATATATATATATATATATATATATATATATATTACGTCAATCAATATGAATGTTTCTGTGAAAGTTTTTTCACATTGGAAAGGACAAAATGTTAGATGGATGATTTGAATTTAGAAGTAGACAATGGCAAAAAGGCCATCTGATTAGTTTGGCTGATTACGAATTCTTGGACCGTAGACACATAATTATTAACTTGTATATTAATATTTAATTAATTACTTTTTAAAGTAATAATTGCTTTATATAAGCTTTCATCATATAGATGACCCTAATCATTAATATAAACTTTAGTACATAGCTTTCCTTAGAATTTGACTTTTGACGAATTTAATTTTTCTTCTTAAGTTGAATTGAAATATTGTCACAGTAAGCTAAACACATTAACTTTCCCTTATATAAGAATACAAATAATTAGCTACTATAAAAGAGTATCTATGTAATACAGACGAAAAAGTGATGAAATAGAATAGGTTTTACCGATGGTAAGAAGTCAATTTTTCAATTAAAAAATAGCATTGGTGCAGTCGGCTAGCATTTAATAAATTTAAAAAATAAAAAAAATTAAGTTTGAGTGGGTTGGACTGACGTGAAGAAGTAAATTTTTGAGCTAAAAATTAAAAATAGTGATAGACAGTGGATGCTAAAATTTATTAAGGATTGGTTTGTGGAGTTTTTGAAGATTGTCCTTTAAAGCTAAGGGTTCTTTGCTGATCAACCATGGCTAGAGGAAGAAACGAGAAATAAGAAAACAGCAAGAGAGTTGGAGAATAATCCATTAATATTGTTTCAAAGGATATAATTCTTCTTCTGCTTCCCCTTCTTTGATCTCACTCCCAAACCAAAGCAAATCCTAAATACATCACGCTTTTGCCGACATGTTGACCAAATATGAGACGAAGATTATGAAAATGTTTATGCACTAACTTTCTTGTAAGATTATGTATTTTAAAAACAAAGTAATTATTGAAGGAAATAACACACTTTCACAACATGATAAAACTCCCAGGCTTTTACTGCCTAAAGACGTTTCCATTCCAAAAAGATTCACAGAAATGGCTATTTCAAAAGCTATTTCCAAATTCGGAAATACCTCCAGAGTGATTATTTCAGAATATATTTTTAATATGCTTCAAAATAGTAATTTTAAAAAGGCTTAATATCTTTTTTGTCCTTCGAAAGAGGGGTTGGGTTCAAAATGGTCCTACCTTTTTTAAAAAGTAACAAATGATCCCAACTTTTGAAAAAATGGATCAAGTTAATCATTTTTGCTAACGACGTCAAAAATTAAACTGTGCAGCTGTCCCTTGGACAAAACTCAATGACGTGTGCAGTTTATCTTATTGCGTGGCAGTTGCGTGGCAGTCAAAAATGGGTCACGCATTTCTCTCCCTAAACTTCTCTAGCGTGTTGAAAATAGAATCTGGATCTAAGAAAAAACCAATTATTCTCTATTCTCCTCCTAGATCTAAGAAAATGGAATCTGGATTGCGTTCTCCCAAATCGCGTTTCAAACCCTCCTCCGGTTCTGTTCGTACTCGTTGCCGAGGATCTTCGACCAGTCCAACACGTTCACCGACAACGATCCCAAAGCACCGACACGACCGACGGTAGTAGAGGAGTTACTGTAGAATCTCGAGGAGCGTACAAATTTGCAGAATTCCGAAGAGTTAGCGTTTGCAAAACTGTAGAGATTAGATTCATTGAATTCAAAGTGGAATCAGAGAGTGAATCTCTGCTCTGCCTCAGATGCATCCCATCATCATCCATGCATCCCAGCACTCTTTCCTCACCTTAGGCACCAACTACGACGAACCCAAGTCCTAGTGCCACGCAACTGCCATGATAAACTGCACACGTCATTAAGTTTTGTCCAGGTGAGCAGCTGTCCCGTGTAATTTTTGACGCCGTTAGAAAAAAGGATTGACTTGACCCGTTTTTTTAAAAGTTGGAATCATTTGTTACTTTTAAAAAACGTGGGAACATTTTGAACACAACCCCGAGGGACCAAAAGAGATATTAAACCTTTTAAAAATTATTTTTTAATTCAAAAATATATTCTGAACTGGTCGATAAATTTTAGAATGATTATTTTGATAAATGTTTCTAAATTTGAAAAATATTTAAGAATCTAAAAACATCTTCCAAAATTCACAATTTAAATTAAATATTTTGGTAAATAAAATATTAGAGGCTTCTATATAACCAGTATAGAAAAAGATAAATTAAATGCCTGATGTAGTTAGACGGACTGGATACACTACAAAAATATTATATGTTAGGAGGGGTTATTTTCCGGCGGTTTAGAAAACCCGGAAAAATTTCCGGCGGTTATGACTAAACCGCCCCTAATGTTTTTTTCTTTTTACATAAATTTTTTGGCAAATATTCTCCCGGAATTTTAGCTCCCTCCCCTCTTTGTGCCTTCATTTTTCATGTTTCTCATTTTCTCAAGCCCTAAGTTCCCTGCCTCCCTCCTACGCCTTCATCTCTGTTCTGATTTTCTCGTAAGTTCTCTCCATTCCTCGCACCAATTCTTCAAACCTAATTTGTTCTCTCCCTTCCTTGCACCATATTCTTCAGACCTAATTGTTCCTCCCTTCCCCGCGAGCACTAGTTCTTATTCGTGGAACTCTTCGGCTTGGTCTTCCGTTGCTTAGGAACGAAAATCTGGTGCGTTTGTGGGCTGAGCGAGGCCGACCGTCAAGGTGTTGTTCGTCGAAGGTCCAGGTGCCTCCAATCGAGGGGCTCTGGCGTGTGTTCGCTCCCGCACCGAGCATCAAGGTAAACCGGCAAGCTCTCTACTTTTGCCTCTGTACAGATTTTCTAAGAACTTGGTTAATGGGTGATAGGGATAAGATAAAGCACCTGAAACCCTTACCACGAGCTTGGTTGAGACTGAAACGAAGAAACTGTGGAAACTCTGGCACCTCTTAATCTGGTTCTGCAAGAAGAGGAGGCAAGTTAAATTTCTTTGCTCATCGTATATCACAATGTCTTAATTTTACTTTTTTTGCAGATTTTCGTAATTATTTATTTTTTAAAGTTTGTTTTAACTTTTGTTTCATATATGTTATATTATGATTCAGAATCTTGAGATACAATGTTTTAAATTGTCATATTAATGTTTCAATAAGACTTTTTTATAAACCTCGGATTCTAGACTCTGCTTGTGGTTGGGCTATCTTGAACTAGCTTTGAATTAAGGTGGATCCAATGGACACTTGGTGACTTTAATGTTAAGTTCACAAAACCAAAGTTTAAGATAATTTTTATTAAATTTGTCGGGCAAAATAAAAAGCCGATTAATTAGACAACTGGATATAGTTTTGTTATTTTCATTAAAGTGAACAATTTAGGTTTGGTAAACATCCTGCATATTAGGGCTGTTTCTACAAACATGTACAAAGTATATTAATTGGTATGTGGATTAGAGTTTGAAAGTAAAATTTTCTGTAAATTTTTGTTTCTTATTTGATTTGAGCTTCTACTCGGATTTATTTTATTTGGTGGCGTGTACTATTAGAAATTTGTGTGTTGTTTGTAAGTTAATATTACTATCAGGTTTCTGTATGTTATTTAGGAATTTTGCTTTG